GATTATCACTCTTCGATCTCATCCAGAGGGAGGTGAGATAAAAAATGCCATTATTTTAGATCCACCAGTCAGTTGCACTCATTTTATATAGGGTAGTCTCTTTATGGATACTGTACTGAAAGACTGGCAGCATGGTGGTAGTCCAACTCTTACTCTCTCATAGCTTTCACATCTTGGGAGACGTCCAAAACAGACTTGATGCATGCCAGCTCACAAGAGTAACTCAAGTAGTTGGTAAATCACTGAAGGTTTTGTAGCTCATTTATTTCACATTTTTCCTAGCGCTAAAGCAATACAGATTTTGGAATGTAATATATTGTTCAAAGTTTGAGGTGGAGGGACTGGGGATATAGCTCAGGGGCACAAGCACCTGCTTGGCAAGTGCAATGTCCTGAGTTTGATTCCCAATACCCACCCCCGCACAAAAAAAGTTTGAGGTGGAGACATGCATAAATTAAGTTTTATTGCACTTCTTTTGTGAATCTTTCACAATATAAACTGCTTGCTTTTGCTACTAAGTCCTTTCTAGAAAGGGCCTTCAAAAGACCTGTGTCTATAGTGATACAGCAATGTAATTGAGAAAAGTTCTGGAATATTAAACTCATTCTTTTTAATTGCTTATTCTGGTAACAAACACAATTTTGGAGAAATGAATGTACCTAAAACAATGACTCTTATTTTTGTAATTCTATCCTAAATTTGATATGCTCAAGCATATGAGCTTTTCTGACTTTATCTTTTTGACTTTTTGCCTAGAAATGCCACAGCAGCTGGACTTTGTTATGTTATTGCTCTGAAAATCAGAAATTTCTAGATCTTTGTAATTAGGTGACCACAGAGGTAATGAGACTCACTTTTTGAGAACCGTGCTTCAGGTGCGAACATATGTTCCATCATGAGCACCTGCATGGCAGCTGGTAGTGCACTTTTTAAGATAGTGATATTTGCTGATACTCGTAATATCATCAACTGTGCTAAAACCGTTTCCTGTGTACACACTGTGTATACACACATATATAACGGTTTAAGATTCTAAAGTTAATTCTATTTAAGCAACTGGAAACACTTACATAAGAAATTTCAGTGAACTACTTCTTTTCATCCAGACGAGAGAAAAACAGATTCTAGTATTAAGAGATAGGCATAAGCTGACATAAGATTTTTTTTATGTGGAAATGATTCCATATAAAGAATAAACAAAGAATATGACCCTAAAACCTGAACTAATTCTTCAGTTTTTAGTTTTGGTGATTTATTGTTGTTGTTTATTTTAACCTGGAGCCTTGGAGACACTGGGATATTAGATTTCACTAAACTTTCTGCATCTTGTATCCCTTCCTGTTTAAGCTTGTCTGGGAATTTCATCCAATTCTTATCTGAGGGGGAACTGAAGGCATTTTAACAAGGAAACAACTAAATGATGTGTCAGCCAAAAATGCAAATGTTTACTTTAGAAGCATTTTTGAGTATAATAAACAAAGTCTATCAGAATAACAAAAATTCAAGTAGAAACTTTAAAATGCATGGAAAAAGATGATTCCTTTATATTTTCTTGAGTTAGAACCATAAACATTTTGAAGTCCACAAATATATTGTGAACTTCAGCCAAAGTTTATCCCTGAAGTATTCAATTCTCACCACTTGACGTGTCAGATGCTCCTTAAATTAAAAGCATAAAATCTATTCTAAGAATAATTGCTAGTAAAGCAGTGTGGAACTCCCTGCTTAGGTTATATGATCGCTAGAACAACTTTAAAAGCATAGGTACTAAGAATTTCATTTTGCTAAGATTGGTACTCTTTTCTTTCTTATTAAGGAACATTTTTTTCCCTTCAGATTAGTATTAACTCTTGATTGGTTACCATACTACTTCTGGGTGACCCCTGCTTTAATCTACTTAATACAAGAACACAGTGTATATATGAAATGTATGTGCATTTAATTTAAATTTTTATATTTATTTTACATTACTACATGTTTGCAGTATTATTACTACATGATTATTCATCATGAGGAGTTGGTACATGTATATAACAATCTTAGTTCTCTTATTTTAATGTCCCTTTCCCCTTCCCTCCCTCCATTTCTGGGTCCTCTTTGTACATGCTTTCCACATTTTGATACCTCTTTGTAATCTCTAGGATGCTTACTTTACCCAGGGAAATTCTGGGCATGCAAGAGCAGGGTTTATGAGTATGCCTTTAAGAATGTTTGGTTCAGAGACACATGTGGTGAGAGATGCCTGTAATCCCAGCACTGCATGGTGAAACCCTGTCTCCAAAGACAAAAGAAAGAAGATAAATAAATCAAATCAATTTATTTTGGTCCTGCAATGGCTCTCAAGCTTGTGAATTTGAATCACCTATAGTTCTAGTCAGCACTGTTACATACTCAAAAGATAATGAGGCTGGGAAACGTGTATGTTTAAAAGTGTTATAGGTGATTATGATGAACAGCCCATATTAAAAGTAACAGATTTTTGTGGGGATTTATTTTTGAAATGGAAAACTTTTGTGATAGTTTTGTTGTAATATGGGACTTGGCACGACATGTCCTTGATTTCAGTAGGTTAAGAACAAACGTGTAAAAGATGGACGTGGAGATAGATATCTTTCAAAGTAAGTTACTTAACATACATTAAGAAAAATTTTCAGTGCATCTTTAAAAATGCTGCTGAAATGTTGCATAAAGGTTTGGAATGGAACTTAAGAAATTTACATCTGCACTTCAAAACAGTAGTCACTAGCTGTATGTGGCTACTGAAGCAATTGAAGTATGGCTAGCTGGAATTGAGGTGTACTAAAAGTATAAAGTATATACAGCATTTTGAATAGTGTGGAAAAGAATATTAAATATTTTCTCTATAGATAATATGAATATTAAATCTTAATTTTCATATTAACTATATTTTGCAATATTTTAAATATATGAATACACTGCTAGTAAGGTGTACTAAAACTTTACAGTACATTGGTAATATTAGCACACAAGAAAATGGAGTTGAGATGTACTCAGATGCCAGCTTTTTCTTCATAACTCTTACTTTTAAAGTTTCAGTATGTGAAATAATGAACTAAGCTTTTTAGTTTTGAAGTGGGATCTATGGGTATATTCTCTAGGCAAAGAATCTTTAAAGTTCCTGATACATGATTTAAGGTTACTAATAGTCTCAAAGGGGGTGAAGGATTGTAGCGGTATAAAAACAGAAGCAGTAGGCAAAGTATGAGCTGCTGGAGATAAATTTCAAGTGTGTAGTATCTGGTGAATATAGGGTCTAAAGTCTTTTGCTGGAGTAAGTGGTGTTAAGATGGGTAGAGAATATACTTACTGTACTTGATTGAGCAGGGAACTAAAGGGAAATGGTGTTGGAAATGAAATGATTAAGAATGTTGTAGGGCCAGGGATATAGCTCAGTGATGCAAGCACCTGCCTGGCAAGAATGAGGTTGTGAGTCCGATTCCTGGTACCAAAAAAAAAAAAAAAAAAAAAGTAGGTGAGCAAAGTGTTACCATCTTCAGTGCAAAACAGGGAGTAACCAGATGGGTTTGGTCATGTATTCGAGATTACTGGATCTCAAATGGGGACATTTTACAGTATCTGGAGACCATTTTGGTTACCACAGCTAGGGGAAGGGTAATATAGTGCATAGGGGTCAGGGATTCTTCTAACACCCTACAATGCTTAGTGAGTTCTTTTTCACAGAAAGTATTATCTGGCCTCAAATGTCAGATGTATCAGAATCAAGGCATGTTGGTTAAAAAACAAACCAAGAATTATCAGTACATATTATATTTCTGTTTTAATCAAATAATTTCTCATGGAGTAAAAAATATACACATTAATTTTTTTTTTGTGGTATAGGGGATCAAACTCACAACCTCGCGCTTGCCAGGCAGGCTCTTAGGCCACTGAGCTATATCTCCAGCCCAATATACACATTAATTATAAACATCTGTCAGCCAGGCATGGTGGCACATGCTTGTAATCCAGCACTATCAGGAGGCTGAGGCAGGAAGATAGCCAGACTGGTGTACATGGTGAGTTCAAGACTAGCCTGAATTACACAGCAAGATCCTGTCTCAAAAGAAATAAACAAACAAACATCCATTCACTACATCAACAAATACATTGCATCCCAACTTAATAAGTCAACACTATTCTAGCTGTTTAAGACGGAAAGTATTATAAATAATAAGCTAGATAAGTTTGTTAGAAAGTGTTAAGTGCTAATAAAAAAGGGGAGCAGATTAAGGTTATTGGGAGTGTTAAGGATGGCAGAACAAAAACAGCAAGTTATGAATCCAGGCGTGGTGGCCCCACTCGTAATACTAGCACTTGGGAGGCTTAGGCAGAACTGCCACAAATTTCAGGCCAACCTGAGCAATGTAGAGACCCAGTCTCAAAAAATCAAACAAACAAAAAAATATTTTTAAAATATGAGGGTGTCGAATATTTTATTGAAGTGGCATCAGAGAAAAGATTTAATAGATTCTAAAGAATGTAACAAATGTATCTTGACCTGAAAATATAATTTGGGTTTGTACTGGGCTAACAGGAAAGAAATGTAACTGAATCTCCTTGCTAGGAAAAAGGCGGATTATCCTAAGTGCTTTGAGTGATACCAAGTTAGCCTCCAGGGAGCTTCATGAGGAACAAAAATCTTGGAAACAAAGAGTATAAACAGGGCAGTAATTCTGCTCTATACTGTTTATCTCTGTTTTGATCCTGTTTAATTTGGCAGAGAACTGAACAGGTTCTCAAATATTCTTCATATTTGCTCCTTTTTAGGAACCAAGAATTAGTTGGTCATCTACATTGCATAGTGATACCAATGAAAGCAAGAGATAATGAGGTTTCCTGGGGGGAATGGCAGCAGTGGGAGAAGTGGAAGATTGTATTTACAAAAGGATGATTTGAAAAAAAATTACGATACCTCCATTAATCTTCCTTGCTGTTAATCACCAAACAGTATCTGAATGAAGCCTCTCTTTCTGTCTCAGGTATGGTAACAGCACTAGGAACTACGTCATCCGGGTTGGGGATTATCATACTTTGGTGCCAGAGGAGTTTGAAGAAGAGATTGGAGTTCAACAGATTGTGATTCACAGGGACTATCGACCAGTCAGTAATGACTATGATATTGCCCTGGTTAGATTACAAGGTCCAGAGGAGCAATGTGCCAGATTCAGCAGCCACGTTTTGCCAGCCTGTTTACCAGTGCACAGGGAGAGGCCACAGAAGACAGCCTCCAATTGCTACGTAACAGGATGGGGAGACACAGGTACTATAACTAACATAAATGAATGAGGAAAGCTGGACATGTTCTAGTGTCTGGTATCACACATTTGAATGGATAATGGGCAATAAGATCTTTAAATGGGTTCAGGCTTACTTGTTTGGAAATTATGCCAGGTAGGAAGTGCATGCATATAATCTAATTCATATCCTGAGGGTACTATTTGTTCCAATTCAGATTTTAGCACAAATAGAACTCAATTACCAGTGGAATTTAGGAGTACAGGATATTGTAACTTCTAGTTCTTCAAACCCATGAGAGAACAGGAAGAGATTTTAAGACTACTCCAAGACGCGGACCTGGCAGTCTGTAATTTTAAAAGATTTTTCCACATGCCTTTGATGTAGTAGGCCCAGAAAAAGGGTTGGTGTCGTAGTTTGTTTCTTTGCCATGGAGTCCTTATCAAGCTAAATTTTACTGACTTAAATACACAGCAGACAAGAGCCACTGTGGTGAAAGCTAAGGTTGAAGAGAAACACAGTCAAAGTTTTTCCAGTATTCCTCCCCAATCTTGCCACTTGTAACCCCTGAGCATGAGTAATATTTAGCTTATATTCTTTTTGGGCAAACACAGTTCTTCATAAATTGTCTTTAGAGTTACATCAATGTATCTAAGCTAATCCTTGCACAGGATGAACCTTGAAATAATGGTTTGGCTGCTTCACACTAAAAAGAATTACAAACAATTGTACTCAAGTATCAAATTCCTACAGGTAATAAAAATAAGGTTTTAATGTACCTCAGTGTTTATTTTATCCCATTTTACACTCAGGCTAGTTTCATAGAACATTTGCAGCAACTACGCAGTACTAAAAAAATTAGTAATATCCTTAAGTTAAACTGGGTAGGAGGGGAGCATTTATCAAAGTAATTTAGTAATAAAATCAGATCAAGGTATATCAATCTTTGAGAAGGCTAAAATGTACTAGAATTATCATGAATTATGTCACCTTCCTTTAGACACATCTAAATAAATAGAAATGACCTAAGAAGCAAGTTTTATAGAATTTTGTGATCTTTCTCCAATTTAATAGATAAAATCATATGACAGAATCCATACCCCCAAGATTATGGACATATTAACTGTACATTTTAGTCTCTGAGTTCAAGTCAAGGCTTACCAGAAGTAGGTAGAGCACCCTAACATCAGATGATGAACCTTGAGAAGTCTAAGGTTGTGGGAAAGTATTGCAACATTTTATTGCTAAAGTATTCCTTATATAGTACTGTTTCTACTTAAGACAGCTCTGCCACCTTATATACTTACATATAATTATCATTATTTAATCTTTAAATTGTAAAGTAGATGTTTTCAAATGGATGTCCCAATGCATAACTAGCATGAATATATTTTATAGCTTTTTCAAATTTTGTTTTTGGGGGGTTCCACTAGGATTGAATTTAGAGCACTGTGCATGGTTGGCAAGTACTCTGCCTCTGAGCTATATCCCCAACTTATTTGTAGGCTTTTAATATATACAGTTTAAATACTATAAAGCTTGCACAGATGTACTTTCTTTAGGTTACCTTTTATCTATAGTGAAGTCCATGTTATGCATTATCCTCCCTAACTCAGTACTCATAAACAAATTTGAAAAGCATTTGCCAACAATTAAAAATATACTATATAGTTACTATCTTATTTGAGCTACACCAATGATATAGTAGGGATTTTGTTTCTAAAACTATTAGATGTTCACTTAACTGTTAAATATTGATTATGGGATCTCACTAATCCACATTATTTGTTCTGCACAGGACGAGCATATTCAAGAACACTACAGCAAGCAGCCATCCCCTTACTTCCCAAGAGATTCTGTGAGGAACGCTATAAGGGAAGGTTTACTGGGAGAATGATCTGTGCTGGAAACCTCCAGGAACACAAACGTATGGACAGCTGCCAGGGAGACAGTGGAGGACCACTCATGTGTGAACGTCCTGGAGCGACCTGGGTTGTGTATGGGGTAACTTCCTGGGGATATGGCTGTGGAGCCAAGGATTCTCCTGGTGTTTATACAAAAGTCTCAGCCTTTGTACCCTGGATAAAAAGTATCACCAAACTGTAATTCACAAAACTTCAACAGTAAATAGTTGGAAGAAACTGATGGGAACCACTAACTCTGCTATTAGCACTACACAAGAGATGAAAACTAATGAAAACTGAGATCCGTGTTTTTCCTTTCTGTTGAAATTGTGTACCCCTTCCTGGCTGCTTTTGTGATGTGAACATTTTTGGTTAGATACCTCAGTGTAATATTACCTTTAATTGCTTTATTATCTGATTCAGATTACTGGGGAAATTTATTTCCTCTTTCTCAGCATTCTCTACAATCTCACTTTGTAATAAGGTTGTTTTTGATCAGCTGAATTGGTATAGAGTGTGGATTTGTAGTAAGAACTCATATTTGATATAAATGGTAACTTTATGCCTCTAAATGTGGTATTTCCTATTTGTTCATTTTCTGGTGAAAAGGTTATTATCACCTACCAAGTCTGTGGCCTTTGTCAGATAAGGACATCAGTGGCCCACAAGAACTTAACAACTTCTAAGGTAGAATACATTATGAGGCAACATTAGCCTGTTACAATATATTCCCAATGAAGGCACCTGGTATTTGCAAGTATCCTTGTTAAGTACAGATACTAAGGAAACTACTCTAAGAGGAAAAATGTCCATATTAAAAATTTGAAGGATTTAAAACATAAAAAGTGCTAGCTGAATATATCAGGCATATTAACTTACCTATTCTAATCTCTAACAACCACTTGGGATCTAATCTTTAGTAGGCAGAAAAAGAAAGTATCACCAGGCTACCATTAAGTCCCATTTTGTGGGTGATGGGAGAGCGCCACCTACTGGAGCTTTCCAGCAATTGACCCATACAGGTGGGGTTCTTAAGACTTTAAGATTCTTTTTTTTTTTTTTTTTGGTTTTTTTCCGGGACCGGGAACCGAACTCGCGACCTTGCGCTTGCCAGGCAGGCGCTTTTGCCACTGAGCTAAATCCCCAGCCAGACTTTAAGATTCAATCCATTAAAAATAAACCAAGGCTAGGGGATATAGCTCTATAACAGCACTTGCCTACCATGCACAAAGCCCAGGAGTCACTCACTCTTCAGCACTACACAGTTAAAATGATTTCCCCTTTGCACATGTACTGGTAAATCAGTTTAACCCGTGGTATGTGTATTAGGTGACTGCAAGTGACAACTTACTAAAAAGCCATGAAAATGCAATTTTATCTTAGTCTGTTTTCACATGGGCTTGGTGATGAGCGGGTGAAAGGTCTGACTACAAACTCTTCCTCTAAAAAGGAATCCCCACCAAAAACAAGAATCCGAAGGATGTTGGTTATAACCCCCATCCCAACTCCAGGACCATCTCACTTAAAAGGTCAGTTTTCCTCTTTCTCAAAAGGTTATTAAATGATTGCTTTACAGGGCATTCTTGGTAGCAAAAACAAAATCTTTGCCCAAAGAAAAGACACACACCATTAAGATTCCTAATACTCTAGATATGGGAATTATTCCAGATGTCACAGACACTTCTAAATTCCTAGTTTAAAAACTGGTGAAAAGAACGTTAAAATGTCTTTTGCAAATCCTGTTTTGCAAAAACTGGTGCAAACCTATAGGTGCTTTACTGTCTTATTACTTATCAGATGTGCAATGTGTCAGGTAGAATTAGCACTAAAAATTTTCTGAAAACCCATCATTTCAATTAAAACTACTAGGGCAGCATTCACATTTTGATGTATTGCTGCTCCAAGGCCAGAGAAAAAAATGTGTAACAGAGGTGGAAAAAGTGCCGTTACAGAAAACTTTCCCCACAGCTACCCTTGTTATTCAAGTATTGCTGATATAAACATTCATACTGATGTTTTAAATGTAACAGGGATTGGCAAATCTAAAGGCAGCAAATAAGTGGCCTGCAGTTAATACATAAGAATATGTGATTTATAAATACGTAGCCAGTTTTGTCTTAAAGTCACGTTTCTTGGAAGATACAAGTGTTTAGTGCATATTTACATAAATAAAGCACATTAATTCTTATCCTGTGTACATAGTTGCCTTAATTTTGGGGGTGGTATGAAAATACTGCTTCTCTTGGGTAAACTTTACGTGCAAACTATTCAATTCGTGTTACCTTTATACAATCTTCTAACAGTAGTCAAGATTTTTACTTTACCCATTAAAAAAGTGCATATCCATCCGCATAAATCAAGCATTTTATTCAATTATATCAAGGACGTACCTTAAGTACTAATTTAAACAACAGAGACATATATTCAAAATACTGCCTCGGTAGTTTCTGGATTATTCAAAACGCCCACTTCCCCATTAAGTTTGGTGACCCACTGCAACACGCTGCTTAAGACTTCTCCCTTATCGCTTTGGCTTCCTTGATTATCTGTAAGAAAAAAAAAAAAAAACAGCATTAGAAAGTCAGATCTGTGTATTTACCTCATCAGTGAGATCTCAGCGGCTAATTTACTTACTTTCTATTCAACTGGCCCCTAAAGCCGGTCTAACAAGCACTCTTCCAACAACTGCGACAAGGACTTCAGACGATTCGACAACGTATACATGGAAACGTACCTCGCCCTGCTTTCCATTAGGCATCAGCAGTGAGTTCCGCTTCCTAGGAACATTTGAACATTCGTTAGAACGGTTTGCTCGGTAAGTTGGCCTCCGCCAGGTTTTAATCAGTGAAGAATGTTACTTGTGCAAGTCAGAATCTGATACCAATTAAATGGTGACAGCTTTGCCAATAAACAAGAAAATGCTCTTCCATGGCTAGGAAGGGAGTCTGCCACAACTGACAGGTCCCAAAGACACATGGAGATTCAGTCCCGACCCAGCAGCCCCAACTCTCGGTGACACTACTCACCACGTGCGTCAAACGGTGGCGGCTCTCCGGGCTCGGGCGCCGAACGGCGGACTGCAAACGGCCAGGCGAGCGCGGCGGCCCCGCTCCTGCGGCCGCGCCTCGGGCGCACCGACCCCGCGCCGCGCGCCTCCTCAGGGTCCCGGGCCGCATGCGGCCGTCGCGCGACCTAGTGAACGCCGAAGTCCGTCTGGGCCCTCTAAACTAGAGCCTTTTAAAGCTGATCGCCTCCTACCACTACAGCAAGACCTTTGAGCAGCCCGCATTTTAACCACGCCGATAAATTCTAACCGAATTAGCATTTTAGCGGGTAAAACACAACTGCGCAACTCACAGAACCCAGACAACTTCCGGACGCAAAAGGTCGAACTCTCCGCCGCGCACTCCCTTATAGAGCCGATGACGCCCTTCCGGGGAAAGCGCCGTCAGGGGCGGGACCTTTCCTCTGCTCGCTCCGCCCCGTCCTCCCAGCCCCACCCCGGCTCTTCCAGCTTCAGCCTCCCACTTCCTGCTGAGGTTCCACCCCCTCCAGGCGCTTCCGGTCGGCTCCCCGCGCATCGTCTAGGATTAAGCTAGTTACCCGGATGCGCTGGACGGGTGTACCGAGGAGAACAAAGCTCGCGAGACCGTGAAGTCCTGTGATTCTCGAACGCTGACTGCGTTTACTATAGTAGAAAGGTTATTTTTCTGTTTAGGGTCGTTGCTTTAGAAGTCATTGTTGCTACGGAAACACTAATTTCGGCATTTAACCTTGTGGTAGGTTAATTTATATAAAGTTGGCTTTTTTGGGGTTCTCTACCAATGAACTCTTCTTGCTATTGGTGCCCTTAATCATCCACTGGAATTTCTTGCTGTTTCTGAAACGCCAGTATCAGTGGCTCTTCAGGTGTTTGCGGTTTTTTGCCCCCTAATTTTTTAAGGGCATTGGTACGCCAGTACTGACAAGCTCAGCAGATTTCCTAAACACAAGATAAGAAAAAGGGCCGCGCGAAGTGGCGCATACCTGTAATCCCGGCTTTCGGGGAGGCCCATACCGAAGGTGACGAATTCGTACTCAGCCTGGGCGATTTCGCGATGTACAGAGATTGTCTGAAGTCATAAAATGAGAAAGCGCTGGGTGGTGACTCAGCGCGAAAGCTCTGAGTTCAATAGCTAGTACCAGAAAAAAAAAAATTAGAAAAAAAGAGAAAAGCGTTGCTACATCTTAACGGGCGCAGAGGAGCGGTGCTTATGGGTGTCTCCTGGCTGACCCGCTATCAGGCCACTCTGTTGAGCTCCAACATCTGGAAACCGAATGTCTGGATCTTCATTCCCTGCTGTATGTTTCACTGAGGGTGCAAGTAAACAAAAGATAGAGCCACCGCCAGCGCAAAATGGAAGTCTAACATTCAAGAATAGTTTTAGGTGTAATGGTGCGTGCCCGCCATCCCGGTGAGGCTGGAGGGTCACAAATTTGAGTCCTACTTGGGCAGTGTGGCCTTTTAGCCAGACCGTGTCTCAGGAAAAAAGGGACTTGGGATGTAGCTCAGGACCAAGAGTCTGGGTTCAATTCCCAGTATCCCCTCCCCGCAAAAGTTTTAGTCTTTAGGCAGGTGCTTGTTTAATCACAGTAAAATGTGTCTTCTCTCTCTCTTTTTTTTTTTTTTCCTTACTTTTCTTAGATATGAAACAGGGACAGAGGGGAAGCTTTTACTTAGTACTGGATCATTAGGGGTAGCACATTTGCAGCAATTACTGTCAGGGAAAATGGTGTCAAGATTTTACTGGGTGAAAAAAGTGGTACAGTGGAGATAGACAAAAACTTTGTGAGCTCTGTACATACTTTGGGAAAAAATTTAATGGGATTAAAAATTGGTCAAGGATCAGAGTGGACAAAGTTATAGGGGATACATTTTAATTTGAAGTAACTAGAACTGTTTGTAAGGCTCATCATATTTTACCCTATTTTAGTTTGTCTCACCTTGTCTTTATTCATCTCAGTAATGAACTTAAAGAACTACTCAATAACAAGGCTTAAATACTGCATCACAGTAGGGAGTTTGTCAAATAGCCACCAGTATTAGTTTCTTAGGGTTCCTCTTAAACAACAACAACAACAAAACAAAACAAAAAAAAACATGTTTAAACAACAGAAACCTACTTGGTTACAGTACAGTCCTGGAGGCTGGAAGTCTGAAATCAGGGTGTCAGCTGTTACTTCCTCAGAGGCCTCCTTGGCATGTAGATGCATGATAGTTCTTTTTCTGTTTTAGCGTGGTTTGTCTGTACCAGTCATGTGTTTTATTGTTTGTTATTTGCAGAGCTGCTGATTGAACCCAGGGCCTCACAAACGCTAGGCAAACACTCCACCACTGAACTATATCCCCATTCTTAAAAGGATTCTAGTCCTAATTGATGACAGCCGTCTCTAGTAACCTCTTGTAACCTTAATTAGCTCTTTAACCATCCTGTCTCTAAATAGTCATATTCAGAGGCAGTGGAGTTTATGTCTTCAACACACATGGAACTCAAGGCTTCATGCATGCTAGCCAAATGCTCATCACTGAACT